TGTGTGTGTGTGTGTGTGTGTGTGTGTGTGTGTGTGTGCGCGTGTGCTCTTGTACTCTTAAATGGCTGTGATTGTGTACGTGTGTGTTAGAGATGGCTTGAAGAAGAGGAGAGAGATAGAGAGAGCTGCGTGTCAGCCTACACACTAAACAAACTTATGAAAATTCATGAGGACCTGGCAACGCCTACTCACAAATACTAAAAATACTGGAGTGAGTTGAGCCTAGTCATAGGAGAGGGAAAGGGGAGGACGAAGAGAGAGGAGATGAATAGGGAGAAATGAGAGAGAGCAGCAGCAGAAGAGGAGGAGGAAGAGAAGACGCGAAAGGTGTAACATGAACCAGGGCAGAAAAGAGCCCGAAAGAGAGGAGAAATAATAGTTACATCAACTGAATCCAACTCAGAACATCTATTCTCAGCCTCCAGCGGTCAGCACTCACTTTGTGTGAGAGCGAGTGAGTGAATGTGTGTTTCAGCGTGAAAATGCTTTCACATTTTYTCTTTATATTGCGGGCTTTAAGATGAGGGCAAAAAAAAATAAGAAATAATGTTACAGCCTTTTTTTCTCATTGTGTTGACTCTGCRTCTGCAATGGTCTGAGATCAGGCTGATTTAATGGAGATTGACAGCAATTTTCTGCTAAAAATCATCTCACAGGCAAAGGAGGGAAGGTGGGGAAGACACTATTTTGACTTGGATATAGCTTTCAGTGCTGATACATAGTCAGGAGGACTTTGTGTCCAGGGTGTCCCTTCACAGCTGAGATGGTGGACTTTTTGCAGGCTTTAGTGAAAGGTGACAGCTGATGTTTGATTGGCAGCTATGTGTGCTGTGCAACTTTTGAAAGTAGGGCTTTTTAAAATCTGTCTCTACTTGAAACTGTCAGAGGCTCCATGGCCAGTTTTTCCTGAAACAGACGACACATTACATCAGGATGTCGCTATCGTAGTGTCATCAGAGCCTGCCAGAGGTTAACTGAAGTCAAATCCTACAGCTCCACATGGCATGAGGTCTGGAGTTACACCAGTGGGTTCTTCCACAATATTGACAGAAATGGTCCTGACCTCAGCACTAYCATATGTGCGCCCAATGGTCGTCTTAGCCCTTTATATTCATCCTCTTGGTTGTAAACATGAATTTTAGCAGCTAAATGCGTATTTTTCTGATTGTCTCGCTTTTATAAAATATATCCAGTGAACAGAGAAGAATTGCCAGAGTAACTATTAACAAAAAAATTAATAAAAAACACTGGTGTATATTTTGCAAAACCTTTTCTTTTTGCATATGTTATGTAAATCACTGGGCTGTGACAAACTCATTCACAAAAGAATTTCAAAAATATTTCAAAACATTCATTGAGGTTCTCATATTCATTGCTTTTGTATTAAGGCCAGACTAAGATAATTGTTTTAAATCACAAGAAGAGTCAAAATATGAGAAAAAAAGTCGTATGAGAGTAAGATCATCATATTAGCAGAATAAAGTCATAATAGTATGAGAATAACATACAAGAATAGAATAAGAACACCTAACCCCCAACTACTCCCTGGGCGCTCACACAGCTGCCCGCTGCTCCACTTGGGTGTTTCTCATGTGTGCTGGGTCAAACGCAGAGCACAAATTTCATCAATGTATGGGATCATGCATTGATGATGAATAAAGAACAATTACTTTTTTATTAGTCATAATAGTTTGAGAATAAAGTCAGTATAGCAAGAATAAAGCCATAACATTACGAGAATATGGTCATAGTATTACAAGAACAAAGTCATAGTAATACGAGAGTAAAGCTGAATCTGAATTAAGTCATAATAGTACAATAATAATGTCATAGTATTACAAATAGTCAGTATTACAAGAATGAAGTCATAATTGTACTAGAATAAAGTAATCATATTATGAGAATAAAGTCTTACAAAAATAAAGTTGTACAAGAATAAAAACATAATATTATAAGAATGAAGTCATAGTATTAAAAGAATATTCATAGTATTACAAAAGTAAATCATAACATTATGAGAATGAAGTCGCACGTGAAAAAAGTCTAAAAATTATGAGAATAAATTTATATTGTTACGGGAATAAGCTTATGGTGTAACAAGAATAAAGCCTTTTGAGAGTAAATTCGTACATGAATAAAGTCTAAATATTATGAGAATGGAGCAATATAATGTTAATAAAGTCATACATGAATTACATCATATTACGGGAATATAATAATAATAATATTACCGGTACCTAAATAAAGTCTAAATAATATGAGAACAAAGTCCAAATAGCACTGAGTTATAATAAGGAACGTTGAGCATCTTGTGAAGTTATCCTGTGGTTTCACTTTTACAAATACTTAATGTTTTAGAACAGCATCAAATTATTATCAGCAGCAGGATTTTGTAACAATTTTGCAAATGACTGTCTATTTCAAAGACTTTATTCCTGTACAACTTTCTTCTAGAAATACTAMAATTTAATTCTTGTAACTTTTTTGTAATATTATGATTTTATTATAGTAACATTATAACAGAAAGTGCAAAACTTGAGACAACTTTGGCAACTTATGAAATCAAATTGTGTTTAAAAAAATAAAATGAAGCAAAAAATTTGCAATTCTATTGAGATATGCAATAATTAGGATACYAAAAATATAAAGTTGCTATTCCAACAAAAAGTGTCATGCATGTCAGAAACATCATGCAAATGTAACAATTTATTCACAGTTTATTACAAATACTCAAATGAATCTGTTGTACTAATTCTGTGTTGTTGTTGTTTTTCAAATAAAAATGGCATATTTTCAGATAATTTAGTGTCTCTAGCTGTGAGATACAGGTATATATTTAAAAAACAACATATTTATACAACATCACAAACATGTCTTATACTCACTGATCTATGATAAAAATTCAGTCATGCAACACAATTTAATTTCCATTTGTTTAAAATGGCTGGTCAGAAATAAGGCTGCTCCATTWTAATATACGCTAATAACCTCGTGAATTTTACTTTTTGTCTCATGAGAGAAACTTAGAGAAGTCAACGCTGTCCAAGGAGATTGGAGGCATGATGAGTAAAAAATAAGTTTAACTATAACTGTTTAAAAAAATAACTTTAATGAATGAAATAGTATTTCTGTGAATAAAAACGTAATAAAGTTAAATCTGTGCCTGGCAGGCACATTTTGTTGACAATATGTACAAACTGTCTGATTTAAATACTCTTTACGGAGGAAACTTTATGACAGTAATTCTGATGGTTTATGATCAATAGAAAAAACGGTGTCTGGTTTGTGTTTGGGTTCACTCAGGCCTTTCTATGTTTGTACTTTCCTTCTCTCACAGAGCAAAAACATGCATGTTGGGTTAAGTCTCAGTTCGGTTGCTTTGAAGTGGGTTCAAGTGAAAAGGTCATAACTAATTAACATCTTACCTGCTGTAGACAGACCTTGGTTTGAAGACATAGATGACTACTGACCACACTGACAAACTAACAGCTAGTCTGAATGAGGCCAAGACCTTATAAAACAGCTCAAATCTCAAAATTATGAGAGCAAGTTGCGAGCTTCTATTTTAGAAAATATCATATTACCTTCAGTTGGGCGTTACACTTTTCACTTTTTTTCCCAGCAGAAATATAATGATAATTGTGTGATTTGAAATTGATGGCAATGGAGAAGTTTATAATTGAAAATGTGAAATCTTGTGATTTATTTTTTAGATTTGAGAGTTTTTTTGTTTGTTTGYTTTGGATCCCAGCAATCCACTTCGGACTTCAGCTAAATATCCATTAGCTTGTTCATCCAGTCCAATATAACAAAAAAAAAAAGTTCTTCCAGTTGGAGGCATGGTAGCTCAGTTGGTAGAGCTGATGCCGCTCAGCAAGAA